CTTGGAAGCATGGAGGAAATGTTTCCTCTGTGTTGACCCTCCTCTTTTCAGACTGGACACTGGTTCAAGTCCATCTTCTGGGGTCTTCATGGCCTCCCTGAACAAGAGGACAGGTGACTCTCCAAAGTTACAGGATATTTCAAGAGATGCGCCATAGCCCTTGGAACTTGTTTGACCTTGGAGGGCCAGGAACAAAAATTTGTCCCTTTAAGTCTCTCTGATCAGATTAATACAGGCCTTAGAGTCTGGCTGTTAAACATCCAACAAGGTTAGTTACACCAGTCTGGTACTTTTAATTACCATGTGCTATGTAGATAGAGCTTGGGCAACATCCTTAAATAAACCTTGACTAGACATCCTTAGACCAGTTGACTAAGCTGCAACTTTAGAAATTTTAAGGTTTTCTACACATTATCCTTGTCTCATCCTTGTTATATTGTAACAACCATACACAGACCTTCATCACCTGCCCATCTAAAGGTCCCTGGTTCAATCCCGGGTTTCGGCACCATCTGATAGGTGAAAAGTTGGCGGAGAACGAGCTAGTGGATGATGAGGCACCGAGGCACAGATAAAACTCCATCAAAATAGGGTTTATTAGCAAAGGAACACATGGGACAGATTCCCTTTCGGGCAGGGAAAAGTCTGCCCAGGTCTTGAGCTGGGGTCTTTTAAAAGGGAGGCTTCTGCTTCCTGCAGAAGGCAGGAAGATGTATTTTTTTTTTTTAAAGTTGGGTGTTGGGGGGAAGTGAGAGAGCCGCACTGTTAAAACCTGTCCTCTTTGGAGATCAAAGGGGAAGCCTGCTGTGTTGGCCAAACAGTGGAGAAAAGTCTGCTTAGCTTGACTTCAAAGACCAAGTTGCTTTATCAGCTAGGTTCCCTTTTCTCAGGAGCATGAGAAGTCCTTGGGATCCTGTTGGTGAGGGGGCAGGGCTATCTGAACCTTAACAGAAGTGTTACATGGAATACTTGTAACTTTAAGTCTTACCTACTGTTTAGAATTCTTTTAAAAATTTTTATTTAATTTGTATGAATATGGGGCTGGAGAGATGGCTCAGTGGTTAAGAACAATGGCTGTTCTTGCAGAAGACCTGGGTTTTGAATCCCAGCAGCCACATGGCAGCTAACAGCTGTCCATAACTCCAATTCCAGGGGATCTGACAGCCTCTTCTGTTTTCTGTGGGCATTGCACGACACGGATGCACTTACCACATGCAGGCATAACACTCATACACATAAAAATAAATATAAATAAAATATATTTAATTTGTACGAATATTTTGCTTGTATGTATGTGAGTGCACCTGTACGTGCAGTGCCCGCCAGTGGGAGAGGATAACATTGCAACTGGAGTTATGGACGGTTCTTGGAACTGGAGTTATGTGGATGCTTTGATCTGAACCTGGGTTAACTGGCCAGTGCTCTTAACCACTGAGCCATTTCTCTAGCCCCTGTTTAGAATTCTTGCTGTAAGTGTTGTTACCATAAGCTTTCTGGTGTGATAAGTAGTTAATGATTAATATATTATATAAATTACCTTCTACTAGATGTCAGTCCTGAGAGAAAGAGAACTAAGCGTTGGAACAATAAAGCTATTGAAAAAAACCAAAGAAAAAGAACTGTACTATCCAGTTTAAAAATCTTCTGTTAAAAATTATATAAAAATGAAAACAAAACATGGCCCAGAGGAATTGGGTGGTTTCCAGTATTTTTTTTTTTTTTTGAGACTATGTTTCTGTGTGACTTTGACCATGTGATACTGACAACCTTACTCACACTTGCTGGGTCTCAAATCCTTTTGCCATGATACAGGGTTATTAGTCTGGATCAGTCATTGTGAAACTTTTAAAAAGCATTTTATTCTTTTTCAAATTAAACTATAAGGGCTGTTAACATAAGAGTTTTACTACAAAGCTGGGTGTGCAGGTACATGCCTGTCATCCTGGTGCAAGGAGTTGAGGCATAAAGATCATGAGTTCAAGGACAGCCTGGGCTGCATAGTGAGACCCTACTTTAAAAATAAAAGGAAAATTGGTGCTGCAAGGTTGAATCAGGAAAGGGGAGGCAGAAACTTAGCCTAAGATAGCCCCTGCTGTACTTGAATTCTAGAATTCTGCCTGTTTCAGTATGACAATTAGCAGATGAAGTTTCAGAAGATCTTTTCAACTCAGCATATTTTCAATCTGTAGCGATCTAGTCAGTGGAGGCTCAGTTCAGAAGTATAGGCTTGATGACTGTTAGATTAGTTGAAAAGAAATTTTTGTATCAGCTGGGAAATAACTGGATTGCTAGTTATCTAAGCAGGTACTTCCCACTGTCTCACTTTCTACCTCCAAACAAACCATGAAACAAAATTGAGTTTTATCTCATATGTGGAGTTGTACACTCTGCTTCTCCTGTTCCCCTCCTGTCTTCTCTCTTCAGGTCTCATCCAGGCTGGCCTTGAACTCACCATCCCCTTGCCTCAGGATTACAGATGTGCCCATATGGCAGGCTCCATAACTGAGTCTTGAATCTGTTCTTCAGAGTAGATTCTTCAGGCTCTACAGTTAGAATGTCTGGTTTGGATCTTGGCTCTCACATGTACTGACCATATAACCTTAGGCAAGCTTGTTTGTTTCTTTTTTCCTTTTTATTTTTTAAAAAATATTTTATTTATTATTTTTATTTATGTATACGAGTGTTATACCTGCATGTATATAAGTGCACCCATGTCCTGCAATGCCAGAGGAGGACAGAAGAAGCTGTTGGATCCCCTGGAATTGGAGTTACAGACAGTTGTTAGCTACCATGTGGGTGCTGGGACTCGAACCCAGGTCTTCTGCAAGAACAGTCTGTGTTCTTAATTGCTGAGCCATCTCTCCAGTCCCTCTTTTTTCCTTTTTAAAGGGAAACAAGCAGAGGTTTCAATTCTAATATCTGACAAAATACACTTCAAAGTAAAACTAATCAGAAGAGATAAGGAGGGACACTTCATTCTGATCAAAGCAGCAGTTAACTGAGAAGATACTACAATCCTTAACATATATGCACCAAACTCTGGTGCACCCAAATTCATAAAAACATTACTATAGGACTTTAAGACACAGATTAACCCCAACTCAGTAATAGTAGGAGACTTCAATACCCCACTGTCTCCATTAGACAGGTCAACTGGACAAAGAATAAAGAGAGAGACATCTGAATTAAATGATACCATACATCAAATGGACCTAACAGATGTCTTTCAAATATTCCACCCAAGCACTGTGGGTCTCTCCCCTCGTAGGCCATTGGCCACCCACAAGAACAAAGGGAGCAGAAGCGATGAACTGGGATCAGGACAGCCAGTGAGCACGAAGGAAAAGGCCTTCCAGGGAGTCAGATTCATTGATACAGCTCCGTTTATTCAGTGGGGGTCAGGGAAAAATATAGTGTGGAGGCAGCAGCCAAAGCTTCAGCTGATAGGTGCTCATAGTATGCTTTATTTACATGTGGTAGGGTGATCCTGTCATCTGGCTATAGGGAAATACCTAATTATCATATAGAAAAAACCTGGGGGCAGTTATATTGCAGGTAACTATGCCAAAGGTCATGTTCCAAATAAGGTCAGGCATCCATGCTTGGAGGTACTTTCCGGGTAAGTAAGGCAGAGAACAGGAGGCCCCTGCTAAGAAAGGAATCAACCTTAACAACAAAGAATACAGCACCAAAGAATACACTTTGTACTCAGTACCCCGTGGAAAGTTTTCAAAAACTGACTACATACTAGGCCACAAAACAATCCTCAGCAAATACAAAAAAAAAAAATAATAATAATTCCATGCATTCTATTGACCACAGTGCAATAAGCTCAAAATCAACACTGGACAAAGCCCCAGGAACTACACGAACTTGTGGTGATTGAACGACACACTCCTAAATAATGAGTGGGTCAAGGAGAAATTAAGAAAAAAAAAGAATTCCTGGAATTCAACGAAAAGGACAATACAACACAACACAACCTCTGGGACACTTTAAAAGCAGTCCTAAGAAGGAAGTTTATAGCTTTAAGTGCCTACATTAAAAAATTAGAAAGTGCCCAAATAAATGACCTCACACTGCAACTTAAGACCCTGGAAAGGCAAGAAGAAATGAAACCCAAACCCAGCAGAAGAGAAGAAATAACAAAAATCAGAGCAGAAATTAATGAAATAGAAACAAAGAAAAAAATTCAAAGAATCAATGAATCTAAGAGCTGGTTCTTTGAAAAGCTAAACAAGATAGACAGACCCTTAGCCCAGTTAACCAAAGAAAGAAAGAGCAAATCCAAATCAACAAAATCAGAGATGAAAAGGGAATCTCAATCAAAATCTCCATAACATACTTAACAGAATTAGAAAAAAAAAATCCTTAAATTTATATGGAAGCACAAAAGACCCCGGATAGCCAAAGCAACCCTGAGCACAAAGAGCAATGCTGGAGGGATTACTATGCCAGATCTCAAAGTATACTACAGAGCTATAGTCTTATAAAACAGCGTAGTACTGGTGCAAAAATAGACACATAGATCAATGGAACATTATTGAAGATCCAAACCTGAGTACATGCAATTTCAGCCACCTGATATTTGACAAAGGTACCAAAAACACACAGTGGAGGAAATGCAGCATCTTCAACAAATGGTGCGGGCAAAACGGGATCTCCACCTGTAGAAGAATGAAACTAGATCCTTATCTTTCGGCTTGCACAAAGGTCAACTCCAAATGGATCAAAGACCTCAGTGAGAAACAGGAAACCCTGAAACTATTAGAAGAAAAAATCTTCACCAGTGACACATATGACAGGGGTTTAACATTCAGAATATATAAAGAACTCAAAAAACAAAGAATCAAGAAGCCAAAAGACCCAATTAAAAGATGGGCTAAAGATCTAAACTGAGTGGTCTCAAATGAAGAAATAAAAGATGACTAAGAAATATCTCAAAATGTGTTCAATATCATTAGTAATTAGGGAAATGCAAATTAAAACCACCCTAAGGTATCACCTTACCCCAATTAGACTGTCTTGGATCAAGAACAAATGATACCAAATGCTGGCGAGAAAGGGGAACGCTTATTCACTGCTGGTGGGATTGCAAACTCATGCAACCTCTATGGACAACTGGAGAACTCTTAAACTTTCCGTTTAATGAGTCAAAATTTTGCTTCAAATCTCATAAAGGCAGAGTAGATGAAATAAGACACTCATCAGGGGCCAAAGCTATCTAAATTGACTCTAAAATTCAAGGATACTTATTTTTCTAAAAAAAATATTTATTATTTTTATTTTTATGTGTATGAGTGTATTCTCTGATGTGTGTAAGTGGACCTGTGCCAATAATGCCCAAGGAGGTCAGAAGAGAGCATCAAAATCCCCCGAAACTGGATTTATGGACAGTTGTTGGCCACCATGTGGGTGCTGGGAATCTAACCTGGGTCCTCTGCAAGAGCAGTCAGTGCTCTTAACCACTGAGCCATCTCTCCAGCCCCTCCCGGTATCCACAGCTGGCCTGGAACTTGCTATGTAGACCAAGGCTGGCCTCAGTTTCACAGAGCTCTGCCTGCCTATGTCTCTCAAGTGCTGGGATTAAAAGCATGTACCACTATGCTCGGCTCTAGCAGATTTTGAAATAACAAAGTTTGATATAGATAGACTTAGGTACTTTTCAGCTTTGTTCTAGTTGATATGACTGTATATTACCATAACTTTATCTTTTTTGTACATTTTGTACTTACAATAGAATTCAGTGCTAACTTCTCAGCTCTGCTTCCCTACCACTGATGTTTCATTGGGAAGACTGAGAGGCCTTGAGTCATGTGAAATATCACATGAAATCTTACATACGTGCTTGGCAGTTGTACTGCTTCCTGTGTGATGAACTCAGATCCTCTGCCCATGAACCTCTCTTGGTGGCCTGTATGTCTGAACTTTCTCATAACTTGGTGTTTCAGTTCAAAGGGCTGTCATCCTGAAGGAGAGGGGTCAGAAGCAAGCTGTATTGCCTTTTGTCTCCCACCCAGAAGTCATACACTGTAACCTCTGCTGAATTGTAATCTGTTAGGCAGTCACAATGTCCTGTTCAAATTTCAGTGACGGGAAATAAGTTTTTACTTTTAAAAAGATTTTTTTATAATCTTCAAAATTATGTATATATGTTTGTGTATATGCACATGAGTGCAGATGCCTGAGGAAGCCAGAAGCATTAGCTTCCCTAGGAGCTGGAGTTACAGGCAGTTGTGAGCTGCCCAATGTGGCTGCTGGAAATTGAACTCAGGTCCTCTAGAATTGCTATGTGTTCTTAACCACTATACTATCTCTCCAGTCCTAATTTTTCTTTTTAAATATTTTTTATTTATTATTTGTATTTTATGCATGTGTATGTGTATTGCCTGTATATATGTAAGTGCACTGGTGTTGTGCAATGCCCATGGAGGACAAAAGGCTGTTGAATCCTCTGGAACTGGACAGACAATTGTTAGCTGCCGTGTGGGTGCTGGGATTTGAACTCCGGTTTTCTGTAAGAACAGCTAGTGCTCTTAACTGCTGAGCCATCTCTTCAGCCCCTCCAGTTCTGAGTTTTTGCTTCTTCATAGATATAGTCAACCATAGTATCTCATGCTTGTAATCCCAACATTCAGGAGGTTGAAGCAAGGAAATTCAGAAGTTTAAGGCCAGGCTGGGCTACATAGTAAGCTCAAGGCCAAATCTACTTAATTGAAACTCTGTTGGAAAAAAACAAGATCTGGGGATGAAGCACTCTGCCTCCCGAGTGCTGGGGTTAAAGGCATGTGCCACCATGCCCGGCTAAAATTTTTTTTTTAGCTGGGCAGAGGCAGGCGGATCTCTGTGAGTTCAAGGCCAGCCTGGTCTACATAGTGAGTTCCAGGACAGCTGGGGCTACAGGGAGACCCTGTCTCAAAAAGACCAAAAAAAAAAGAAAAGTACAGTCTGCTATGGACCAGGAAGGAGACCTTAGAGATTAGCTGGTCTAGCTCCCTCTGCCCATGAGGACACTGACTAAGAAAGAGGCATGCATCATAGCCATAGACAAGTTATGTTGCATAGATAGACTGGCGCCAGACCCCCCACCCCAACCCCCAGGTCCGGAATGGGTTTCACTGTGGAGCCCGACTGGCCTTGAGCTTGCAGCAGTCCTTCTTCCTTAGTTGCACTATGCCTGGCTTGGAGTTTACCTTTCTTGACTCTAGACTCACTTCTTTTTTACTTTATACTGTGCTGTCCTTTGCTAATCATGTAGTTCATTGACCGAGACATGAAGGTTCCTCCTTTTGGAGTTTTCTGTCCTAGCAGCAGAAGGGATGATACAGGTAAAACTGTCGGCCAAGTTTGGCATGTAATGGGCAGGCAGGAAGTGTTTCTTAATCCTTTTTTCCCTCCATTTTTTTTTTTAACAAAATTTTTATTTTTATTTTTTATTTTTATTTTATTTGTATGAGTGTATTGCCTGCATGTATGTGAGTGCACCCATGTTGTGCAATGCCATGGAGGTCAGAAGAAGGCTTCAGATTCCCCTGGAACTGCAGTTAAGGACGTTTTTTAGCCACCATGTGGATGCTGGGAATTGAACCCAGGTCCTCTGCAAGAGCAGTCAGTGCTTTTAACCGTTGAGCCATTTCTCTAGCCCCTTTCCCTCCATTTTTATTGGAACACTTTTTAGCTGTTGAACACTGTGGCAATACAGTGGAACTATAGTATACTTGAATCCAGCTCAACACTTTCATTTACAATTGTTAGAAATAAAATCCAAGGCCCCAGGACCTCATCAATATTGCACACAGAAAACAAGGATACAGCAAAGAAAATAAGGACAAAGTGAAAGTAACTGGGCAAGGCAGGTTTTACTTTTGCAAAAGGGTGCTTTATGTGTTCAGTAAGATCCAGCAAGTACACATAGGATCCAGAAGTTTGGGGGGTTTTATCCCTGATGAAAGAGAGCTGTGTCTTCCCCATTAGCTGGGTTCCAACTTCGTAGTCTTTCCCTGTTGGCTAGTTTAAAAGAGCCATCAGGCTCAGGAATGCATCAGGGCCTTTCCTTAAACAAGTCTTAAAAGATGTGATGTGATTAAAAGATTAGAATTCCTTGTCATAAATCAACTTCATGTTTTACAGGGTTTGAAAGAAAAGACGAATATCTAATATTTCTTATACCCTTTTCTTAGGTGCTCAGAATTTTGATGTTATACGACTGTCAACTTACCGAACAGCTTGCAAATTACGTTTTGTACAGAAACGATGTAATCGTAAGTCATTTCTTGTTTTGGGGGGAGCAGATAGGGCTCTCAGTATTGTGAAATAATTTTAATAGTTTTTAGGTGTGCCATAAAGTTATCTTGTTTGTTTTAAAGATTTATCAGAATATAAGCTTTGTAATGGAATGAATTTGCATTTCAGTTCTGTATCCTTTAAAATAAATTAACAAAATCAATATTACAAGCAATATTACTAGTAATTACTTTTAAAATTTTTTATTATGTCTTTATTTTATGTGTGTGTATGTATGTGTGTGTGCCATAGCACACATGAAGGGCAGAGGATATCCAGGAATCAGTTCTCTCCTACCACATGGGTTCCTGGAACTTAGGTCCTCAGGCTTGGCGCATTGCCTTTATTCTCTGAGCCAACTCACCAGCTCCAGTTGCTAGTAGCTGTAATTAGTTATAAGGTTTGAGGTGGCATATTAATGTTCTTTAAGTGGAGAATTGACTTTTTTCCTTATTGCTAATACTGATCCAATGCTTTGTCCAAAATTAATTTAGTTATTAGCTTCTCAGGTAAAGAAAGACCTTCATGTTTTGATACAGGGTTAGTAAAAATTCATTTTTCTGATTAAGCTTAGTCTAGAATAAATCACCCTCTTTTAATAAATAATTGCTATCATGTAGATTAGAAAATAAAATGTGTAAATATATGTATGTACCCATAAATGTTCTCTTAATTTCTATGAAGATGAATTGTTTCAGAATTGCTGTACTTTTCTGGTGAGTGCATGTATTAATAAAATGCATTTTATATAATGGAAAGAACATCAACATAATTGAAAAACCTGTTTTAAATGACTTAGTTTTGAGCTGGGCATGGTTGCTTATACCTTTTTATCCTAGCACGTGGGAGATGGAGGCAGGTAGATCTCTGTGAGTTTCAGGCCAGCCTGGTCTACACTGTTCTAGGCCAGCTAGGGCTGCATAGTGAGACCCTGTCTCAGAAAAAGAAAAAAGGAAAAGAAAACAAGGCTTAGTTTTGCTAATAACTCATGTACTTATTATAAACAGGTGACTTGGGTAGGCTACTTTACATCTGATAGCTTTGTCAGACAGTAAGACTTATGAATCCTGCAATTCTCTCTAGAGTTTATCATACCATCTTAGATGGAAGCCAAATTTCTTTTTGTTGTGATTTCCCAAAGCAGTGTTTTTCATATTATGGATGATGACCTATTACTGCTTCATTAAGTCATTTTGGTGGGCTGTAGCCATAGTATAAAGTGTTCATTACAAACAAAGATTAGAGAAAAGGAAACTCTCAAGAGTGTGTAGCTTAGGTGGTAAAAAAGTGTTTTGTGAAACTTTAAAAAATTATTTATTATTTTTTAACATTTTATTTATTATTTATTTATTTTTATGTGTATGCGTGTATTGCCTGCATGTAGGTAAGTGCACCTGTGTTGTGCAGTGCCTGAGGAGGACAGAAGAGGTTATTGGATCCCCTGGAACTGGAGTTATGGACAGTTGTTAGTTGCCATGTGGGTGCTGGGATGCCAATTAAAAAAAAATATTTATTTATTTTTATGTGTATGCGTGTATTGCCTGCATGTAGGTAAGTGCACCTGTGTTGTGCAGTGCCTGAGGAGGACAGAAGAGGTTATTGGATCCCCTGGAACTGGAGTCACGGACAGTTGTTAGCTGCCATGTGGGTGCTGGGATTTGAACTCTGGTCTTCTGCAAGAACAGCCAGTGTACTTAACTACTGAGCCATCTCTCTAGCCCCTTATTTATTATTTTTATTTTATGTGTATGGGTGTTTTGCCTGCATGTATATAAGTACACCGATGTTTTGCAATGCCTGCAAAAATTAGAAGAGAATGTCAGATCCCCTGGAACTGGAATTACAGAAGGTTGTTAGCTGCCTTGTGCGTAATAGGAACCAAACTTGGGTCTTCTGCGAGATTAGCCAGTGCTCTAAACATGCTGAGCCATCTCTCTAGCCCCTTTTGTGAAGCTTTCTGATTTCTAATTATGTGTGTGCACTCACATGTTTGTGTATGCGCACCTGTGCCAGAGAGGGAGAGGGAAATTAAATATATATGACCAAAATGTTTGAAAACCACTCTTTTAGAAGAACTGCCTGAACATTTTTGTAACTTTTCCCATAATTATTCTTGGTTAAGTGCGTTCTCTGTGTAGAGTGTTGAGAGCCTGAACTAGGCAGTAGTGTTAGTAATTAATGTTCTAATGTTTTTATTTTTTCTTCCTTTCCTATGTGTTGTACAATCTGCGGTGAATTTTTCTGTGTGGATATATAGCATAAATGGAAGTTAACCTTCAGTTTGGTCCATTTGGTTTGTTTTTCTTTTGCTGTGATAAAGGGTTTATTTCAGCTTATACTTCAGCTCACAGTCCATTGTTGAGAGAAGTTAGGACAGGAACTCAAGCAGGATAGGAACTTGAAGCAGAAACCAAAGAGGAACGCTGCTCGCTGGACTGCGCTCTGGCTCTTGCTCAGCTAGTTTTCTTTTCTTACTTACTTTTTTATTTTATTTTATGTGTATGAGTGTTATGCCTGCATGTAAGTGTACCTGTGTCCTACAATACTCGCAGAGGTCAGAAGAGGGCGTCGGACCCCTAGAACTGGAGTTATGGACAGCTCTTAGCTGCCTTGTGGGTGCTGTGATCATACCCGGGTCTTCTGCAAGAACAGCTAGTGCTCTTAACCACTGAGCCATCTCTCCAGCCCCCTCAGCTAGCTTTCTTATACAGCTTAGGCCTACCTACCTAGGGATGATGCTGTCCACAGTGAACTGGGCCTTCCCACATCAATCATCAGTCAAAACAATCTCTCACAGACCTGGCCATAGGGCAATCTGATTGAGGAAGTTCTTCAGTTGAGGTTCTGTCTTCCCAGGTGACTCTGAGTTCTGTCAAGTGGACAATACAAACCGAGTCCATTGTTCTGGCATCGTTTATTGAAAAGACATTCTTTTTCTTGACTGCCAGAGATTGTCTCATGTTCATTAGTAGACAAGTTCAAGATGGTTCAAAGTGGTGTTCATGTCTGTCATGTCTGAGAAGATTAGTTGACAGTGTTTCTGTGTTCTGTGGATCTGTCTATCCTTGTATAATACCATACTGTTCTGATAACTATCATTATAGCTTTATAATAAATCTTGACGTTAGGAAAACAAGTTCTCCTATTTTACTGTTTTTCTTTTTAAGCTTCTCTGAGGCATTCATAGCCCTTTAAATCTAGTTTCCTTTTAATTTTAAAATCTGCTTGTTAATTCCTATTAGAAACAAAGTTTTTAAAATTTATTTTTTGTGCATTTCATGTAATAGATCTTAATCAAATTTAGAGCCCTTCCCCCATCTCCCTCCCCCTGTAGCTCCCCCTCAAATTTCATGCATTCTGTCATATATGCTAAGTCTATCTGGTCAAGCATTTGTACCCAGATAATCCCCCTTTTTCAAGTTAATCACTGTAATCTAGTTAAGCTGTCTAGATTCACTCACTTAAAAAAGATTTGCTCTCCTTCACCCCACAGTAATCAGTTGCCAATAGTTCCTCAGCTAGGGTTGGGACCTCCTGCCTATTTCCCCCATTCTATGCTGGGTTGTTGTCTGATTGAATTTGGCATGGGTCTTGTGCATGCTGTCACCATTATTGCAAGTTCATATGAGCAAGTTCCCAGATGCTTGAAAACCTCTGTTTCCTTATGTTCATGCACCAACCCTGGCTCTTAAAATCTTTCCACACCCTCTTCTGCAGTGGTCCCTGAGCTGTGGGTGGGTGAGGTTTAATTTACGAGTCCTATCCAGGGACACACATTTTATAGTCTCTTATTCTCTAAAACTTAGCCAGTCGTATAGTCTTTTGTGTGCATCATACACTGTATGGGAAGCTTTACTGTTGAAAGTTGAGGGATGTATTAGTATTCTGTCTTCCCTCTCTTCTGCTATTTTCCATGAGCTTTAGATGTAGAGATTCTACTGTAGATGTGTCATGTAGGGCAGGACATCTCTGCGACGTATATTCTCTGTGTGCGACCAGTTGTGGAACACGGTAATAGCTTCCATCTGTTTCAAAAAGAAGCTTCTTCGATGAGTGGTATATGGTATACTTGTCTGTAAATACAAGGATCCATATTTAGCATACAGTAAGAAATTTCATTTGTCTAGAGATTTGACAGAGATAGGGTTTTCTCTAGGATCTATGGCTTCTTTAGCCAAGTGCATTTGGTTATATTTACAGTGCCGCCCATGAGTTTCCATGGAGAGGGATTAAAATCCAATTAGATAGCTGTTGATTACCCCATAGATAAAAGTGCCACTACCGCACAAATAGAGATAGTTTTCTGTGCTGGTTGTTGTGGTTATTAGGCTTTACAGCTAGGTTGGACCATTGATTGATTTTTCTCCCTTAACATAAAATCCTCTAGAACTATGAGAGCTACTCTTCAGGGAGAAGGCTTCTAGGTCAGTTCCAGTTCCATTGCTCCAAGTCCTGTGTTTGAAATATGTCCTGTCTTCAGCATAGAGTCTTATCTTCAAGTTCTGGGAGGTAATCAAGGGCTCTGGCAATAGCCTGTGTTATTTGGGGAGTCACTTAGACTACCCTGAACAACAACTTACTTGATGGGAAGTTTCTCCTCTCTGGCACTGTTTCTTGTTATGTAGCCTTCAGGTATATACATGCATTCATTTCAGATATTGTATGTGTATTTTTCAGATGTGTGCCATCATGCCTGACTGCATGTTAGAGTTTTACTTAATGTTATTGTATTTCTTTTTAGGATCTTAGAGAGTAAATTTTGCTATGTAAATATTGCTGAAGTTGTTAGACCAACCATAAAATAAGACAGTTCAGGCCTAGAGACATGGCTTGGTGGTTAAGAACACTATTTAAAATTTTTTATTTATTATTTTTGTTTTATGTGTATGAGTGTATTGCCTCCATGTATGTGAGTGCACCTGTGTTGTGCATTGCCGCAGAGGTCAGAAGAGAGCTTCGGATTCCCCTGGAACTGGAGTTAAGGACGGTTCGTAGCTGCCATGTGGGTGCTGGGAATTGAACCTGGGTCCTCTGCAAGAACAGTCAGTGCTCCTAACCACTGAGCCATCTCTCCAGCCCGGTTAAGAGCACTTTTGGTGTTCAATCAGGAAGACCAGAGTTCGAATCCCAGTACTTATAATGTTGGGTGGCTCACAAATGCTGTATCACCAGCTCTGAGGGATTCTTCCTGGACTTTGAAGGCATTGCACATACATGTGCACATGCACTTATATTCACACACATGAATAATATAAATCTTTTAAATCTTTTTAAAAAGGTGATTCAGGATGATATAACAAATTGAAGAAAGTGCTAAAAGTTGGGCTGGTGAGTTTCTGCCAAGCCTGATGGCCTGTGTTCAGTCCTTGGAATCCACATGCTGTAGAGAACCAACTCCTGAAAGCTGTCTTCTGACTTCTACACATGTGCTGTGGCATTAGCACACCCACTTATATAAATTTTCATAAACCCCTCCCCTCACAAAATAAAGTAATAAGTGTTTTTAAAGCTGAGCATTCTTTTTTTTGAGACAGTCTCCCTATAGCCCCAGCTGGCCCAGAACTCACTATGTAGATTAGGATGGCCTTGGACTCACAGAGATCTGCCTCCTCTGCCTCCAAAGTGCTGAGACTAAAGATGTGCACCACCATGCCTGGCTAAGCTGAGCATTTTTTTTTCTTTTTTTTTTTTTTTTTTTTGGGTCTTTTTGAGACAGGGTCTCCTGTAGTCCCAGCTGACCTGGAACTCACTATGTAGACTAGGCTAGCCTTCAACTCAGAGATCCGCCTGCCTCTGCCTCCCAAGTGCTGGAATCAAAGGTGTGCGCCACCACACCCAGCTTTAAGCTGAGCATTTTTATGAGTGATTTTAGAGTCCCCCCTTTCATAGAATCACCTGATAGGCACAAGGGTCACTTTACAGAGGCTGAAATGCCTGTTACTTGAATGAAGTCACAGGTTGTCAGCCCTGTTCTGTGGTGGCTCTTTGATGTCTTCTGGAATGAATGTTTTCTATTCTGCCTTGGAATGGATTTCTCTGTGTAGGCTAAAGAGTTTCTGTATGTTAAAAAAATTTTTTTTAATTATTTTTAATTATTATGTGCATGAGTGTTTTACCTGAATGAATGTAAGTGCACTGTTGTGTGCAGTGCTCATGGAAGCCAGAAGATGTTGGATTCCCTGGATATGCAGTTACAGACATTGTTAGCTGCTTTGTGGATACTGGGAACTGAGCCCAGCTCCTCTGAAAGAGCAGCCAGTGCTCTTAACCACTGAGCCATCCTACAGCCCTGAGCTTTTATACTTTAAACTTAAAAAACTAATTGATCAATTTAAATACCCAGTTGTAAAGGCAGTATAATACTTTAAAACTGTTAACAATCTATTTTCTCTGGATTTTAGTTCATCTTGTTGATATCTGGAACATGATTGAAGCCTTCCGAGACAATGGCCTTAATACACTGGACCATACCACCGAGATCAGTGTGTCCCGTCTGGAGACCGTCATCTCATCTATCTACTATCAGTTGAATAAGCGCCTTCCTTCTACTCACCAAATCAGTGTGGACCAGTCCATCAGCCTCCTCCTCAACTTTATGATTGCCGCATACGACAGGCTAGTAGCTCTCATACTCACTTTGTTTAAATGCCCAATCTCCTCATCACCAGCTTAGGGTCAAGGTTGAGGGGAATTTCGGTATTCATCCTTTCTACAGACTGAGCAGTAGTCACTTGCCATCCTGTGGCATGCTCTAAGATAGTTGGAGAATCACCCACTTGAGTCATATTTTTTGATAACACTATAGATACCTAAAATAGAGTTGTTCTTCAGGGAAATACACCTAAGGCTTAGGCATGCTTATGTGGCTTTCCAGTTGATTTTAAGGCTAACCTTTACTTGCTAACACCAAATACCTTTGAACTAAAGTATATTGTTTTTGCTCCATAAATGTCTAAACATCTATTTTAAACTTTTTCCCTTCAGAACAGTGTGAGGTAGACCTTACAACAAGAGAAACTATTTAAATATACCCTAATTAAAATGCAAATGAGTTTCTTTATTTGTATAAATGTAGAATTAAGGTGATAACATAAAAAAACAAAGCAAAAGCAAACAAAACAAATGATGGAAGAGGCTAATGGTTCTGTTCCAGGAACCAAGAGTTCCTGTTTCTTGGCACTACTACTGTACTCACCATTCATTTGGTTTGGATGGATAAATTCTCTTTGCTTCATTTTTTTTCTCTCTGTAGATTTATTTGAATTCATACATTTGTAAAATGCCATTAGTTGCATGTTACAGTAGTGAGGAGTTTGTGAATTAGTGAGAAAAGCACGAATATGTCACCATCAAGTCATAGTTTAAGTATTCACTGGGTTTATGGCATGTTTATAAGCTACTATTAAGTCAGTTTGTGTGTGTGTGTGTGTGTGTGTGTGTTTGGTTTTTTGGGGGGGGCGGTCTTTTTGAGACAGGGTCTCTCTTTAGTCACAACTGGCCTGGAACTTGCTATGGAGACCAGGCTGGCCTTGATCTGCCTACCTCTGCCTTCCAAGTATGGGGATTAAAGGTGCACACCACCACACCTGGCACTAAGTTAGATATTTTACCCATTTATTAAAAATAAAATAATAAAATACAAATTATCTCCATAAAATAACCAGCATTAGAAAACTAGTGAATGGTTGGGTATGGCGATGCACGCCTTTAATCCCAGTACTCAGGAGGCAGAGGCAAGTGGATCTCTGAGTTCCAGGCCAGCCTGGTATGCATAGCAAAAACTTGTCTTAAACAATCAAACAAAAACATTAAAGAAATTTGAATTTTAAAAATGAAAGTGTGGTGTTTTGAATGAAAATGTCCTCCATAGGCTCCAAGTGTTTGGACATTTTGTCCCCAGATGATGATGCTGTTTTGGGAGGTTTTAGAAGGTGTGGCTATCCTGGAGGAAGCACATCACTGGGGGTGGGCTTAGAGAGTTCTTAAGCCTTGCCAGATCTCTGGTCGGTCTCTTGCTTCCTGTGCTTGGTGATGATGTGAGAGTTTCACTTCTGTTGTTCCTGCTCCAGCCACTTCCAGCCACCATGCCTCCCCACCATGATGGAGTATAATTCCCCTGGAACCGTAAGCTCAAATAAACTCTTCCTTCTATAAACTGCTTGGGTCAGTGTTTCTATCACAGCAACAGAAAAGTGACTGATACAAAGAGTATACAATGAACAAAGTCCCAGAATCTTATTGCCATTTAAAACAATGATTAATGAATCCATAGGTAAATTTTTTATTTTCTAAATTCCAGCTCTTTAGACCCAAAACCCTTAGTAAAAATTGCTATTCTTTGGTGAATGAGAAGCATTTTATTATGACCCTGATTTAGTGAATCAGTCAGTTCAAGGGTCATACAACACAAATCAGTTCATAAAGTAATTTTTTTTTTTGTCTTTTTGAGACAGGGTCTCCCTGTAGCCCCAGCTGTCCAGGAGCCCACTATGTAGACCAGGCTGGCCTTGAACTCACAGAGATTCGCCTGCCTCTGCCTCCCAAGTGCTGGGATTAAAAGCATGTACCACCACACCCGGCTCAAAAAATAATTTTTTAAAATTTGTAAATAAAAATTATCTTAATGTCTAAAAAGGTAAATGGGGATTAAAAACTTTTATTCTGGACTGAGGAGATAGCTCAGTCTTTTGGGAAAGTGTTTGTATCACAACTATGAGGACCTAAGTTTACTTTCTAGAAGCTAGCCATTGTGATGCACACTTAGAATCCCAGAGCTGGAGAGGTGGAGACAGGAACATCCCTGAGGATCACTGACCAGCCAGTTAAGCCTAATTTTGTGTTCTAGACCCCTAAGAGATTCTCTCTCCAAAGAGGTAGACAGCGTTCCTGAGAATGTTAACAAAAGATTGTCCTCTGACCTTCACGTGCTCATGTCCACACATGCACATGTATCCTCATGCACATACGTTCCTGCACACACACAAATACTCTTAAAAAAGCACAAGTAAAGACTTTGATTCTGGGAGTCTGGGGAGATGGCTCAGTCAGTGAAGTTCTTGTCATGCCAGCATGGAGACCTGAGTTCAGATTCCTAGCATCCACAGAAACATTCAGGTTTGACAGTATGCCGTCTGTAATCCTGACACTTAAGAGATGGAGAGAAGCAGATCTCTGAAGCTTGCTGGCCAGCCAGCCTACCTGAATTGGTGAACTCCAGGTTGAGTGAGAGACCCTGTCTCAAAACATAAGTTGAAAAAATAAGGTGGAGAGTGATTGAGGATGACACCCAGTGTTGACCTCTGGCCTCCATATGCATGTGTATGTACATACATACACACTTGTGAGCACATATGCACATATACAGGAACATGTATATGCACACGAACATGTACACACTTGTATGTCACACAAACCCCTCAACAAACGAAAAACACAACCTTTTAATTCTATAGTGTTATCAAATATTCTACAGTCAAATCAAAGAAATAAAAAATTATGGTGGTTCAGAGTATTTCCACTGCTATAACAATACCATAAGTTGTGTGATTTATAAACAACACAAACACATTTGTCAAAGTTTTGGAGGCTAGGAAATTCATTTGGGGGATTCTTCAGTGAGAGCCTATTTTCTGGTTCATGGATGATACCTTGCTGTATCTCTACATAGTAGAAAGGTGAGGGCTCTCTCCGGGGGCCCCCCCTATGAGGGCACTAATCTCCCCTTCACCAGAGCTCCATCCTCCACCCTAATCACCTCCAAAGGTCCCACCTTTAATACCTATTACCTTGGCTGTTAAGATGGTATGGTGGTTTAAATGCGAATGCCCCCCATAGGCTCCAAGTATTTGGACATTTTGCCACTGGTTTGTGTTGCTGTTTTGGGTTTTCTTAGAAGGTGTGGCCATGCTGGAGGAAGCATATCACTGGGGGCGGGCTTGGAGAGTTTTTAAGCCATGCCAGATCTCTAGTCTCTCTGTGCTTCCTATGCCTGCTTGATGATGTGAGCCTCTGCTTTGTGCTCCTGGTCTGACCACCTACTACCAACATGCCTCCCTGCTATGATAGACTCGAATTCCCCTGGAACCATAAGTGCAAATAAACTTTTCCTTTTTATAAGTTCCCTTGGTCACAGTGTTTTACCACAGCAACAGGAAAGTGATACAGGTGGACATGTGAATTGTAAGTGGTCAGTGAGGAAGGAAGTGTGAAGGAATAGTAACAGGGAGAATGGGAAAATCATACAGAGGAATGGAAGGCACACAGACATCCTGGGATGTACACAGATGACTAGACCTGTAAAGGAAGAGGAAAAAGAATAGCTAAGAGGCTGGGAAATAAGAGTACTTGCTGTGCAGACGTGAAGATCTGAGTTCAAATTCCCAGCACTAATGTAAAATTCAGGCATGGCTGCATGTGTCTATAACTTCAGTATTGGAGAGGGACTGAGACAGGTGGGCCCTGAAAGCTAGCTGGCCAGCCAGGCAGCCAAAACTGTGACCTTCCCATTGGTTAGCCAAAACTTCAAGTTTCCAATGGTTTCAGTGAGAGACACTGTCTCAAGGCAATAGGTAAGAATGATAGAGAAAGTCATCTGATGTGGTGCAAGCCTTTAATCCCAACACTTGGGAGGGAGAGGCAAGTGGATCGCTGTGAGTTCAAGGCCAGCCTGATCTACAAAGACAAAAAAAAAAAAAAAAATGAGATGAGAAGAGGATGAGCATGGCAGGGATGAGCTAATTTTCAGATCATTGTGCTTAAAACTGGCCATGGGTATCAGAGCACATTGCTGCATCTTTATTGACCTTGAAATCTATATTTTGTTAGAACTATTTAGCTCTTTAGAAATTTAAAATGGTACCAAGCCTTGGTGGTTCAGTGGTAGAAATTTAAAATGGGCTTTCTTGGGGCTGGAAAGATGGTTCAGAGGTTAAAAGCCCTGACTGCTCTTGCAGAGAACCCAGGTTCAATTCCCAGCACCTACATGGTGACTTACAGCTGCCCAACTCCTGTTTCAGGGTGTTCACCATTCTCTTCTGGCCTCTGCAGGCATTGCATACATGAGTGCGCTTACACACATGCAGGCAAAACACTAATTGACATAAAATAAAAAAAATTTTTTGGTCTTTTTGAGACAGGGTCTTCCTGTAGCCCCAGCTGTCCTGGAACTCACTATGTAGACCAGGCTGGCCTTGAACTCACAGAGATCCTCCTGCCTCTGCCTCCTGAGTGCTGGGATTAAAGGTGAGAGCCACTACTCCCGGCAAAATAAAAAAATTTTTTAAATTTTAAATTGGCTCTCTTGTACTGGGATAAAGAATCCGGTTATTCAAATTTTATCAGAACATTTTGTTATTAAATGCTTCAAGTTTTAGCCTTTTTAAAAATATTTTATTTATTATTTTATGTGTATGAATGTATTGCCTGCATGTATGTGAGTGCACCCATGCCATGCTATGCCACAGAGGTCAGAAGAGGGCTTCGGATTCCCCTGGAACTGGAGTTAAGGATGGTTTGTAGCCACCATGTGGGTGCTGGGAATCAAACCCTGGTTATCTGCAAGCAGTCAGTGCTCCTAACTGCAGAGCCATCTCTCCAGCCCCAAGTTTTAGCCTTTT